CACTCCAATCCACGGCAGCAGGCACACACACACACAGCCCTGCCGCAGCACCAACACACAGATGGAAGAGGGAGAAGCAAACAGGAGCGGCACACAAGGCTCCACCGCATGCACATACGGCGAGAGCGGTCCGTCGTGTCTGCACCCCTCACGGAGGGTACGCACACATACATGAGGAGGTGCAGCGCACACAGCAACACAAAAGCAAAGTAACAATAAAAAAAAGGAGATCCCCGCACACCACGTGGATTGTTGGCCCACAAGAAGTGCAGCCAATATTTATCATAAAAACTGTTCGGTTGCCTTCGGCCTTCGTCCACATTCGGCGCACTCCACTTCATGCAGGCCCGGCCACCACTGCAGCAGCCGCACACGCAAAAACAAGCGCAAGGAATGGAATAATACAAGCAAAGTTCTAGTTGTGTTTCTGTTTGGATGTTGGCAGATGTGTGCACATGTTTTGTTCGTTTTGTTTTTTCATAGGGCAAACCTTCATGCCTGCATCGTGTGATTTGATTTCTGCAGGGCGCACAATTATTTTTTTTCTGGTGGATGTTTCTTGTGTTGGTGCAGCCAACAATTCGTTTGTGTTGTTCCTGCCTTTCGCTGGTAAAGTGCTGCAATAGATGCTTGTTTTTCCTTTCGTTGCTGTGGCACCTGATTCCTCACCGCAATAAACGGTGGAGATGAAAATATGTGAGTGGACTCCCACACACCAGAACGCACCTTCGCTCCTATTTATTGGTGCATGGAAGGGCATGTGTGTTTGGTGGTGTCTCGTCCATATATTTTGTGGGTGTACATTCCCCTGCAGGCTGAGGGCGGGATGACGCTCCGTCGCGGTGCACTTCCCTCGCATGCCGCCCACTGTGATTCATCATGCATCACCCCCTCACATATTCCGTGGTGCCACACCGCTGATATTATTGCAGCCGCTGTGATTCCGCATATTTCACGCATTTGATTGTGCCACAATACATCCGCTCGTGTGGCCGCCGCATCCAAACAGCGGTGTCCAACACCGTGAGCGGCATTCCACATCCCTGCATGTCCCAACGCAGTGGTGTTGGACTGTCAGCCAGGCGTCAGACAACAGGAGAGTCTTGTGCTGGCAGTACAACACACGGAGCTGCAGTGAATGACTCGGGCGGCGACGCATCTATTCGTCGCAAAGCAGTGAAAAGAGGCCATACAAAATAATGCCGGCTGCATTCACGACACCACATCCACAGCCAAAGCATGCGACGTGATGTGTGTTTCACTGGTGCTGTGAAATGCCTGCAGACGACGTCACTAGTGGAGGCATGCCACCCATGATCAGCGGACAGACATTAATTGGCATGGGAGGCCACAAAAGGCAGCAACGACGCCAGCAGCAGGAGCAGCTCTCTCTCTCTTTGTTGTCTCCGAGAAGTAAATATTCCACCAGCCGCAGCTGACTGTGCCATCGTGACACTCCATGCACGTCGTGGCTGCGTCAACACATCCTGTTCCCTGCTGCGCCTCAAAAGATGCCTCACTCCGTCCACTAAGTGCATCGGTGTGGGCCATGCCTGGGCTGTTCGTGAGGACCACAACGATGTAAGGGTCACCGAGTCGCAGCACGTTTGCTGTGACGTTGTTGCATGGCACCTGCACACACACACAGCGCCTGCATCCCTCCCTTTTGTGTCCGCCCTCTGCCGGAGTGGCCACACACACACGGGCAGCAGCAAAATCACTTCACCCTCGACAATCCAAAGTCAACACCAACATCCCTCGCGACGCAAAGATCTCAGTTGCCAGCACGGGCCTCCTGCCGCTCTGCCATCGACGCTGAAACACGGCACAGTGCACGCACTTATTTTCCTCGTGTGCAGTCAGCCGTTTGTTTCACACATTCTTCGATGGGTTGACGTCCATAAAAGCACGCCACAAAAAGCCACTGTGATCGCACAAGCTCTTGCGATGGGCGTCGGTGTGTGCATGGATCCGCTGCTCACACGTGCTGGCGGGCAGCCTGCAGCCGGTGCCCTCGTGCCAGTCCATCGGCTCCAGCACGGAAAAGAGAAAACGGCCCATTCCCGATGCACTTATTCCCACCAGCAGCACCAACACGCTGGTCGCCAGCCGTCATTCCTCAGCACATCCAGGAATGCTGAAAAGTGACGTGGAACTGTCAGCCAGCAATGCCACAATCCCGCACACATGTCGGCTCCACCAGAGAAGACACACAAATCACAAACAACACCCTTCACATGTCATCCGAACATCATTCCGACACACCGCGACACGCAAAACAGAAGTATTCGTCACCCCAACGCACCTCCCCACACAATCACATAGTCCACGCACCACGCACGGCAGCAGCTCACACCAGTCTAAACAAATGTTCTTCGGATCAGTGTTATCCACGTGCTGCGGCGGGAAATTAAAAAAAGAGACGAGCCGCCAAACCCCAAAAGACTGCCACGACTGGCCGCAATTCAACGGAACGCAGACACTCAAAGGAATTCAGTTCTAATGCCCTCAATCTCCCACCCTCTCCCACAAAAGCTGCAAAAGATTGAAAACAAACGCACTGTTAAATAAAGCCGCCGTGCAACACAAAACAAAGCCACAATGCCTCCTGTTGCCATCCGGGCCGTTGTTGTCGCCTTCGCGGTGACAGGCGCCAATCTTTTATTCTAAGTGACGCTGTGCGTCCGCACGCGCCATGCGGATCACAAGTAACTCCTTCTATGTCGGTGGCGCAGTCCCTTCCCAACCGAGGATGACGGCCCGCCTCCGCCGGAGCTTCTTCCCGACGTGAGCACCGCAACTCCTTGCTGACCAGCGAGCGGCGGATTGACGTCCTCCTGCCCAACCTGCAGTAGAACGCGCTCTTCCGTCCACAGTATGAGGGCACATGCTCGACGTGCTCGGCCTGGCGTTCCGATAATTGGAGATGGCCTCACATGCGGATGCCAAAATGGCGCCACCGTCTTCCTAACAGGCGCCTCGCGCGCAGGTCGCCACCGAAGTTGCCAGGCATGCCAGCAGGCAACACACGCAGGAAGCACAAACGCGTGTACTCGAGATGGACCAGGCGCTTCCGCCACCGCCTCATCACGGAGGCCACGTGCTGCTGATCCCCGACGGACCACGGGAGACTCCGCTTCATCCACTGCGGGAATGCCCTCGTCGTTGGGAACTGGGACTGCGACTGTTTTGGACTGCCCCAGCCCGCACGACGGCCCGTTCGCGAAGGAATAATTGCCATTTTTGTACGGACCGCTCTTGCAATACTCACTCATTATTATAACAGTATCCAACAACAGCAAAATGACAATTTGCTTCCTGATGGATATTGGCTGCACTTCCCGTGGACCAACAATCCACGTGGTGTGCGGGGATCTCCTTTTTTTATTGCTACTTTGCTTTTGTGTTGCTGTGTGCGCTGCGCCTCCTCTTGTGTGTGTGCGTGCCCTCCGTGAGGGGTGCCGACACGACGGACCGCTCTCGCCGTATGTGCATGCGGTGGAGCCTTGCGTGCCGCTCCTGTTTGCTTCTCCCTCTTCCATCTGTGTGTTGGTGCTGCGGCAGGGCTGTGTGTGTGTGTGCCTGCTGCCGTGGATTGGAGTGTGTGTCGTGTGTGGTGTGCGGCGTACGGTGCATGCCTGGCTGCTGCCCTCTCATGTGGTGTGCCCTCTGTGTGTGTCTGCCGCACCTCTCGTCTCCCCTGTTGCTCTCCATGTCCCTCACTGTGCAGATCAGCTCCACACCACTGAACGACCACACTCACGATGATGACGATGTGCCGTCTGCTGTGCGCCCTGTTGGTGCTCGCCCTGTGCTGCTGCCCGTCCGTGTGCGTGACAACGACTGGTGGATTGAATAAAAATACGGATTTGTCATCCCCTCAGTCACAAGTGCAAGATCAGTCTGACGAGGAACAGGATTCAGAGACGGAGACCGTTGCGGAGCCGGAAGGTGACACAGGCGGTGACGAAGGATCAGGAAGTGAGGACCCTACCCTGCGAAAGACACAAGGGAGCTCTGTTGAGGTAAAGACACCAGATACGACGACGACCACAACAAAGGCACCAACCACGACGACCACGACCACTACAATAGAGGCACCAAGTAATACGGCCATGAATGCACGGGCACCAACCACGACCACGACAACGACTACAGAGGCACCGTCGCGTCTTCGCGAAGTCGACGGCAGCCTCAGCAGCTCTGCGTGGGTGTGTGCCCCGCTGGTGCTCGCAGTATCCGCGCTGGCGTACACCACTGTGGGCTGAAGAGGTGTTGCGGGCTGTGCGTGCCAGCACTCAAAGCCACGGGGACATGTGTACGTCTACTGTGGTTCGATGTATAAAGTAAGAGCAATTATGATGATCGTTTTTTTGTTTGCTTCCGCTGCCGTGCTGTGTGCTCCGCGTTGTGCCCGACATCCGTCACGTTGAACGCATCGCGGACACACTCATATGCACGACACGCATATAAGTGTTTGCGTGGACGCATTTTTCCGTGCTGGTGCATGCGCACTGGAGCCATTTGGGCGCAGTTTTTTGTATTTGTGTTTTGTTTTATTGATACTTGTTTACTTTTTTTTTTTTTTTTGTTTCTTTCTTGTTTTGTGTGTGTTTTTCTTCCTGTTAAATTTTTGCAGGGCGTTGTGTATTTTTTGCATTTTTATTGGTGCAATATTTCTTATGAAGCGTGCTGCTGCTGGTGGTGGTGTTTTTTACCGTGCCGTGTTTTTTGCTGCTTTCACTCTGCGTTGACGGGAAGTTAGTTTGTGCTGAAGGCTACACGCAAGTGACAGGAGTGATGATGGCGATGATGATGACTGGCCGTGTGCTGCTGGTGTGTGCCCTCTGCGTGCTGTGGTGCGGTGCTGCGGTGGTGGCGGCGGCCGATACTGGCGGTGTCGAAATGGAAGGGGCAGAAGGATCCGAGAGTTTACCCTCTGGACCTTCCGACGGTGATGAAGGTGGGAAACAGGAATCAGAGGGTTCAGTCCGGCAAGTGTCCGACACCGCAAATGAATCGTTTGTTGCAGTAGATGGAAAGAATTCCAAACAGCAGGATGGTGTAGTCACAACAACACCAACAAAACCTGAGAGAACGGACGGAGGAACGGAAACAGAAGAAATTAAACGTAAAGAACAAAAAGAGAACCCTGAAATTCCAAATAAAGATGACAAGACAACGCAATTAACATCGAGATCAGAAGAAAAAGAAGAAACGGCTCCGTCACCAGATGAAAAAGAAGAACCGCCAGCTGAACGAGGAAAAACACAAGGAGCTGCCCTACCAGGAGCATCACCAGGAGTACCGTCACGAGCACAAAATGAAAACTCAGCGGAAAATTTAACTGCAACACCAGGAGAAGAAAGAGTCCTTCCTGAAGATCATTCCGACCAGTCACAAGGAGGCAAAACTCCAGCAGACGGATTGGCAGCAGAAATGTCATCAAAGGAAAAAGGGAAAGCCCCAGAAGCACCACCATCACCACTTGAAAAAAATGAAAAACCAGAAGGAGATTTAAAGGCAACAACAAATACTGAAAAAAACAACCTTGAGAATCTCGCGTCCGTGAAAAAAACAGAAAGTATCCTGGAAGACAAGGAGGCAACAAGCAATCTACAAAAAGAAGGCCTTGCATCCACCACCGGCAACCAAGAGAGTGACCCATCGGACGGTTATGCCGAATCGACACCAACATCAATCTCAGCTGCCAGTAATGCTGCCAAAGATGACGCTGACACGGATACTGATAAAGGGATTCCGAATAATGATTCAGCCGCTGGTGTTGCAGCAACAGAAGGAAGACACCAAGATGAAAATAAAGAAGACAATAGGAAGGAAACAACACCACTCAGATCTGCCGCTATGATAAATGAAACAGCAACGGTTGGCGACAGTGACGGCAGCACCGTTGTCTCCCACACCACCTTCCCTCTTTTGCTTCTTTTTGTTGCGTGTGCGGCTGCTGCTGCGGTGGTGGCCGCGTGAGAGTGAGTGAGAGAGCGCCATGCACCGCCCGCACACACACTCGTCTTTCACCCACTCTCTGTGTGTGTCCCCTTGCATGGACTCTCGCCCTCACCTCATCCCACGAAGCACACACATAATGTGCCCATTGTATATATGCATGCACACCCATGCAGGCCCGTTGGTGCTCTCTTTTGCACGACACGCACCGCTGCCGTCCTGCCTGGCTGCATGGGCGGAGCACCGTAACTGTTTCTGTTTTGTTTCCATTGCTTTGAGTGGACGACCTCTCTCTCTTTCTCTCCCTGTGTGTGTGTGTTTTGCTTTACGGGAGCAATGAGAGTGTGTGCGCTGGTCGTCCCACGCTTCGGCTTTTTGTTTTCTTTTTCATTGTTTTGCGGTTGAGAGCACCCATTCCGCGGGCTGCGTGTGTGTGTGTGTGATGATATGAGTAATTTGCGTGTGTGCTATCTGCCTCTCTCTGCCGTTGCTTTTCTTTGGAATCTCTTGTGGCGCACAGCTGCTCTGCAAGTATAGGCGCTGACAAACATAAAAGCACATACGCACACGCCATATCGCTTACGCTGTGGAGCGGTGTGAACGCTGAGAGTGCACATACACATAAGATTGTGGCTGCGGCTGTTTCTGCGAGGAGGGAGGGAGTCTGCAACTGATCTTTTTGTCCGTGATGCGGGCGTGGTACTGGCGCGCGCAACTATTGGTTTGTGCGGTGTGGCATTGATGGTGTCTGAGAAGAATGCCTATCGATTCCCGTCCAACAGCTGCACCTGCCGACGTGTCTCTCTTTTAGTGTTTTTGCCGACGGAGGATTCTCCGGCTGTGCGGGGTGATGTGCGACAGCGTCGGTGCGCTGGAGGAGACAGCGGTGAAAGGAATGGCGGCAGTGCGTCGGTGGTGCGAAGGGCGGCTGTGCCCTTTTGCATTCCGCAGGTCTATTTGTGTGTGGGCGTTTCTCGGTGTGTGCTGACGCTCGGGGAATAACGACGCACCCGCAGTGACTCCTGCTGGTGGTGACGGTCGCTGTGTGTTTCCGGTGCACTGTTCATTCGTCTCCTGTTCCGTGTGTCTGTGTGCGTGAGTTGTTGTTGTTGGGAGTGACTGCGATGCGGATGATGCCATTTACTTTGCATGGGTGACGGTTTTCCCCTCTTTTTTTGACATGTTTTTTGTTTATCTTTTAATAACTGACTCATGCACTAGGAAAGAAGGAACACAAGCGCTAAACGCTACTATGAAATTCGAAGGCTCCTAAAGGACCAACAACAGCACACACACCGCCCACACACACATATTTATATGCTCTCACGTGTTGCTGCAGTGAAGGCACCCCGCACACACAACCGTCGCCGCGTGACCGGATCCAGCGGAAGGAAGAGGGAAGGAAGAGAGAGTGAGCCGCAGAGGCCTAACATGTCTCGGCGTGTGTTTACTTCCGCGGTGCTGCTCCTCCTCGTCGTGATGATGTGCTGCTGCACCGGCGGAGCTGCATCCAGTAAGGACGTGCCGTCAGCTCCGGGATCTTCAAAGGAGGAACGTTATTTTTGGAGAGACGTGAAAGATGGAGAAACAGTGCGTTTGCTCCGTGTTCCCAGTCTTGTTGAGATGGATGGCGAAGTGTTTGCCGTTGCCGAGGCGCAGTGCACGGAAGCCGGCAAGAACGGCTTTACTGGGATTGCCTCGGAGCTCCTGGTATCGGCTGATCAAGAAAGCCTAAAAGGGGAGTTGGATACAACTGCAGTAAAGACACAAGTGCTGGAGGAATGTCCATCCGATAACGCGAATCGTGCCTGCCGTATAGCAGATCAGGCTGTCTCCCAAGGAGTGAAGAGGGTACATGTGAGCCGACCGACAACAGTTGTGAAGGGAAGTGATATTTAAATGCTTGCTGGAAACTACAGTTGGACACTTAACGCTGCTGATCAGGCAGCCGACTGGGGACTCATGCTGGTGAAAGGGAACGTCAGTAAGAAGGATGGCGAAAAGAACAGAATTTATTGGAGTGACAATTACGTTATCCCGTGGAGTCATAAAGACAATCAAAAAGAACCCTTGAAACGACTGGTTGGCAGCGGTGGATCGGGCGTTAAGATGGAGGACGGTACGCTTGTGCTTCCGCTGGAAGGCACGAAGAAGGGAAAGAAGGAGAAAAAGGACGCAGAAGAGGATGGAAAGACCGTTTCGCTGATCATACGCTCCTTGGATGCTGCGGGTTGGACGCTGTCGAAGGGGATGTCTGACGATGGCTGCAGCGATCCCTCCGTCGTGGAGTGGGGGAAGGACAAAAAACTCATCATGATGACAGCGTGTGGTGATGGCCGCCGCAGGGTGTACGAGTCCGTTGACAAGGGGGATTCGTGGACGGAGGCACTCGGGACACTCTCGCGCGTGTGGGGCAACAAACACGAGGAACAGACGAAACGTGTTGCGAGCGGGTTCATCACAGCGAAGATTGAGGACAGGAATGTGATGCTCGTTACTCTGCCGGTGTATGCCAATAAGGCTGAGAGCGAAGAAAATGGAAAGGAAAAGGGTGAACTCCATCTTTGGCTGACGGACAATACGCACATTGCTGATATTGGGCCGGTATCCGTGGAAGGAGACGATGAGGTTGTCGCCAGCTCCCTGCTGTACAAAAGTGGAGGTAATAATGAGTTGGTTGCACTGTACGAGAAGAAGAAGGGCGATGAGGAGAAATCACTCGGTATGGTCTCTGTGCGTCTGACTGCGCAGCTGCAGCGGGTGAAGGATGTGCTGAAGACGTGGAAGAAAGTGGACGAACGTGTCTCCAAGCTGTGCACCACTTTAAATGCTGAGGAGGATCCCTCAGCTGACACTGCCTGCAGCGCTGTTAAGATCACGGCTGGGCTGGTTGGCTTTTTGTCCGGCAACTTCTCTGGTGACACATGGAGGGACGAGTACCTTGGGGTGGATGCCACAGTAAAGAACGGTGCAGCAGCGGTAACGGAGGCCTCCGATGGTTTGACCTTCCAGGGAGCGTGGGCGGAGTGGCCCGTTGGCAGTCAGGGGGAGAATCAGCTGTACCACTTTGCGAACTACAACTTGACTCTTGTGGCGACGGTGTCCATCGACGGTGTGCCGGAGGGAGATACTCCCATTCCTTTGATGGGTGTGCAGATGAAGGGTGCAGGGAATTCTGTATTCTTGGGACTGTCGTACAACAACAAAAATAAGTGGCAGTTGCGGTGCGGTGAAAGAACGAACGAGGAACTCAGCAGCATTGGGAGACCGGAGACAAGACGCCACGTGGTAATTTTGCTACGGAAGGCATCCAGGGCTCCGCGTACGTCGATGGTCAGCGTGTGGGGAATGAAGAATGTGAATTGAAAGATGCGGAATTGGAATTGGTATCACACTTCTACATTGGAGGGGATGGAGGCAGCGCAGAGAACACAGAAAGTCGAGAAGGCGTGTCTGTGACTGTGAAGAACGTCCTGCTGTACAACCGCCCGTTGAGCTCCGAAGTGATTGGCGTCCTTAACCCGAATAAAGTCACCATTCAACTGTTGAAGGATAAGTCGTCGGAGCCTTCACCAGTTTCTTCTGATTCCGTTAATCCTAACACCTCTCCGGCTACCGCAGATGCTCAGCAAACCGGAACTTTGTCTATTCCTGACGGAAAACATCTGACGGAACAGGGACAATCGATGGGGAGCAGTAATGCGGGCAGTGGCGGTGCATCCACAACAGCGGTGTTCACTATAACTACTCCTTCAGCAGGAGAGGAGTCCGTAGTGCAGGTGGCGTCAGGATCATCTTCTGATGGACATAAAAATGTGGGTGGCGGTTCTTTTTCTGATGGCGACCCAACGGTGGAGACAAGAGAAGGAGGAACGAATGGGCAGGAGGAGGAGGTTAATACACAGGTCAGGGACGTAAATGCCACGGCACTCAGCAGCAACCTCGGAAATGTGTCGCAAGGAAATAACAGCGATGCCGGCACCATGCGTGAGAGCGGACTGCTGCCATCGCTGCTTCTTCTGCTGTTGGGACTGTGGGGGTTTGCGGCTCTGTGAGGAGTGACTGGCTGCCGCGTGGGGCACCTGCGGCATCCCCAGCACGGAATTAATTCCAAGAACTAACTTTTTCCTTAAGATAATTTCTAATTTCTTGCTTTCTGTTTGTTTTATTGCTGTTCTTTTTTTATAAATGTTTGTTTTATTGTTTTTTTTTTTTTTTTTTTTTTCTTCTTACTCCCCATCTTTTTTTTTTTTTTTTGCTTTTGGGGGCAATCACTATGGACACGTTTTTCCTTTTTTACTCTTCCCTCTTTTAATTGTTTCTTCTGCACTCTTCCTGTGAGGGGTGCCGTGTGTTTCCCGCCCAACTGCTCCACTCGCACACCCACCGACACGCTCATGACGACGGCCCTGTGCGCCTCGCCTGCTGCACGCATGAGGAGGGGCCGCGACGAACGGCGCGCCGAGGGAGCCGTGACGTGTGGGCGTGCGACGAGGGCCTGTGGGGCGGAGCACACATTTCTTTCCCTCTAGTTTTGTTTTCTTTTTTGCGGCCAGGGCGGGCAAACACCCGCAGAGCCACACACACAGCCACACCCTGCCGCCGTGTTTTTCTTTTATTTATTCGATGGATGTGTGCTGCCACCGTGCGTGATTGTTGAGGTTGGGGCCGTGCCGCATGTATCGGTGCCGTCCAGCTGTGCCTCTTGCTGTGTTGATGTGCCTCCATGTGCTCCTCTCCTCTTCTGCTTCTCCAGCACAGACATAAGTATTTGCGCAGTGCTCTGCAGGAATGCTCTTGGCGACGGTGGGACGTTGGCTTGCATCCCGTGCCGAAATGGCGAGGCCGCTGCGTGTGTGCGTGCGGTGGGAATCACGGTGCCATCGGATGGATATGTGTGGGACGCCTTTTGCATTGAGTTTGTGGCCGGCTGACGCGGCTGCACGATGCCCGCCATACGTGAAGGTGTTGCCTGCTCTTGGGGTCATTCTTCTCTTCCCCTTTTTTTTGCTCTGCCGGTGCGTGCGTTGCTCGGTGTGTGCTGACGCGTGACGGACGGTGCCACGATGGCCTCCTCTGGCAATGACAGTCGCTGTGCTCTCGGCACACATCCACACACTCTTCCTTGTCTCTCTGTGGGAGTGATTGCAGCAGAGCATTGCTGCCAGCGTGATGGGGATCACGACGGCGTCACCCCTCGAGAAGGTCTCGCGCTCTGTTGGTTGTGGAGCGGCGAGGCGGTTTGCCTCGGATCGACTGAGAGAAGCGCACAGTCGTTTCGTTGCGGTCACTCCGTCGGCATCACCCGCTGCTGTGGTGTCCGCAGGAGCCGCAGCCCCGATGAGGATGGCCTCGTGGTTATCTGGCAGCCCAGAACTTCAGGCCCTTCGCCCTTCAGGATTGCCCTTGCAGCACGACTGGTGCAGCACCGGCCAGGCATCGTACTTCTCCAGGAGTGCAGGCACCAGAGTGCTCCAGTGACGAGGCTCGTTGGCTGCAGCGACTTCCACCAGGCCTGCAGTGGGCGTGCCGGTGGCGTGGCCTTCGTGGTGCGCCACACCTTGCCGTGCGAGCGCCTGTTGCTCGTGGCCCCAACTGCCTGGAGAGCACCGCCTTCCGCGTGCGCCCACCGGCCAGCCCCAGCATGCACGTGGTGAACCTCTGAAACCCTCCAACGGCAATTGCTCACGCTGCTCACTTTGCGAGCACCATTCGTCGCTTAGGCCCCGCAGCGCCTATTGCGGGCTACCCGAATTCACACCATGAGCTGCGGGACGGTCGCTCACCATCCACGACGGCAGGAGAGGACCTCGCCGCCACCCCATCCGGCATGGAGATTGAGCTGTCCGACGACCCGGCACAGCCAACGCGGATTAGCGGCGACAGCGTCTCGTTTCCCGATGTGACTGCGCAACGCGTACTGCGTGTCTCCCACTTGACGTCCAGCCGCTGCATGGAGTCGGACCACCATCTGCCATCCCACACTGCAGGGACGGAGGACGGCCTTCCGCGACAGACAGGCATGCTGCCACGAAGAAAACATGCCGCTTTGTCCTGCGCGAAGCCGACTGCGATGCTTCCACCTCGGCGTGTGCAACGCCCCTGTCCACTGTAATCACTTGGTTGGAGATGCACTGAGGCACCGTGCGAGTGGCAGCCGTAACAGTCCCACAGGAATGTGGACGGACGGAATGGAGCAGGCCAAGTGTGTTGCAGCGGCAGCCTGCCCCGAGCTGAAATGCACCGCAAACGGGAGGACCGCAATCATGTCCTTCGCCGTGGCTTCTCCATGCTGCTAGAGGTCCGTGCGAAACAGCTTGGTGCCCTCTCGAGCTCAGGCCTGTGATGCCCTGAGGCATGGCGGCGCCACGTCCCTGCCCTCTGGGATCGGCCGTGCTGCGGTACTGCTGGGACCGCGTCTGTGCTCTGTCTCGGCCGTAACCTCTTCCCGACGTGAGCACCGCCACTCCTTGCCGACCAACAAGCGGCTGGTTGACGTCCTCCTGCCCACTCCTCGGCAGACCGGCACGCGCCACGCAGATTGCAAGTGACTTTTTATCTCGGTGGTGCCGTCCCTCTCACACTGAAGAGGCAGGACCACCCCGACCTCCTCCGAAACCTCCACCTGGCGTGTCGACGGCACCTCCTCGTAGAACGACGAGCAGCAGATCAACGTCGCCCTGCCCAATCGGCAGCAGCGTCTTCTCGTCCGTCCACAATATGAAGGCACACGCCCGACGTGTCCACTCTGGCACTCCAATCGCTGAGAAGGCATCGCATTTGGATTCTGCGACAGCTCCACCGTATTCCCAAGAAGTGCCTCACGCGCAGTTCGCTAGCAAAAATGTCAAGCGTATCAACGGGCAAAAAACGGACAGCGCAACTCCGCAAGCTACAATGACAGCCGTAGCCCTTCAGCCACTCCTATACTGCAACCACCACCAGCCGCTGAGCCGCCTGACGGTCCACGGGAGGCCCTGCCGCACATGCTGTGGGAATGCACCCGTCCTCGACAACTGAGCATCCGACTATTGGGAACACCACCTCTCGCACGATAGCACCGTTTAGGGGTAAAAACTGGCCACGTTTCTACGGACAGTCCTCAGCCTATCAACGAATATTGGCCGCAACGTATAACAAAAAGAAAAATTCCCTTTTCCTCAGTAGAAAAAAACGTCACCTTCACACTCGCAATTGCCACCAATGAATTCATTGCGTAATACCGCTCTGAGCTGCAATAATTCCTGGCATCATCCAGCTCCCTTGTGGACACATTGACGCGGGTGGGCACCCATCCATTCCTCCCAACGACGATGCATGTCTGCAACGTACCCTCTGCTCCAAAAGGACACTTCCCTCAGCACAGCCGGGATCGACCTCGCGCTGGCGGCACGCACCGCTTTGTCAGAGGAGCAGGAGTACGTCAGGGTGACAGCAAAGCACCCGCATGCACAACACATCACAGGCATCATCACAAGCAGAAGCACTGGAGGCCGCAGGGTGAAGTGGACCAACTGACGCACGGCATACGTATAAAAAACTTATTGGCTTCACAAGGATACAAAACACTCACACTCTCCTCGTAAAAAATAAAAGGAAATAATAAATTCATGCGTCCGCAGTCAACGCATGCCGCAAATCAAAAAAAAAGCAGAATGGGTGCACTCAACCACAACACAAGTAAAACATAAAAAAAAAAACAAGAAAAGCCAAGGGGTGGGACGACCAGCGCACACACTCTCATTGCTCCCGTAAAGCAAAACACACACACAGGGAGAGAGAGAGAGGTCGCCCACTCAATGCAATAAAAACAAAACAGAAACAGTTACGGTGCTCCGTCCATGCAGCCAGGCAGGACGGCAGCGGTGCGTGTCGTGCAAAAGAGAGCACCAACGGGCCTGCATGGGTGTGTATGCAATATATACAATGGGCACATTATGTGTGTGCTTCGTGGGATGAGGTGAGGGCGAGAGTCCATGCAAGGGGACACACACAGAGAGTGAGTGAAAGACGAGTGTGTGTGCGGGCGGTGCATGGCTCTCTCTCCCTCACTCTCACGCGGCCACCACCGCAGCAGCAGCCGCACACGCAACAAGAAGAAGAAGAAGCAAAAGAGGGGAGGTGGTGTGGGAGACCGCGGTGCTGCCGTCACTGTCGCCAGTTGAAGCGGTGGCATTTGTACCAACGGCAGCTTCGTTTTTTGTGGGTTCTTCGCCGTTTTTCGCAGCATTTTCATGCTGTTGATGTTGTTTTTCCTCTTGTTCTTTTTCTTGTTTTATGCTCTCTTCGTGCTCTTCTTCCTGCTGTTCCTGTTTTTTTTTGCTGATCTCGTATTTCTTCTTGTAGATGCTCTCCTTCCCGTTCCTCTTCATGTAGATGCTCTTGATTTTGTCCAGACTGGTGTTCGACTGAATTATCGTGATTTTGGGGTGCTTTTTTTGCTTCATCTTCACCGACTGTTGTAACTCGCAATGCTTCGTTTTCTGTTTCTAAAAGAGGACGAGGAGCAGGCTCATTTTTACCTCCAGAAGAACCCGAAGGAATTTCATCGGTGCCACCACCTCCAAGAGAAGTTCCACCACCACCAGGAACCCCGGCACCAGCAGCACCAGCAGCATCAGCGGGACCAGCGGGACCAGAAGCGTTGGAAATTTCACTTGAACCCAAATCGTTCTGCATTGTAACAGAATTAATTTCTTCACCCGACGCCTCAACGGCAGTAACGGGCAACGTTGACCGCAATGGCGCCGTAATCCCCGGTTTATTACATCCGCTCGACACATGAGACAAACCCGTGCCCAACTCTCCCGACGTCGTACAACCACCCACTGCGTTGCTGTCGCGGTCCCTCGCATAAACTCCGCCGGCACCGCACCACAGCGCGCAGAGGGCACACACCAGCAGCACACGGCCAGTCATAACCATCGCCATCACTCCTGTCACTTGCGTGTAGCCTTCAGCACAAACTAACTCCCCGTCAACGCAGAGTAAAAGCAAAAAGAGAAAAGAGAGACACGGCACACAACCACGCACAGCGACAAATGGCAATGCACACACCAGGAGGTAGTTGAAATCAGTGGAAGGGCAAAAAACGCACGCAGCCCCGCAGCAATTAGTCGGCAAAAAAAAAAAAAAAACAATTAAAAAACACTAATAAACAAACAGCAATAAAGTAAATAAAAAAAAAGGGAGCTGCACAGCATGGCTCCAGTGCGCATGCATGTGAGTGTGTCCGCGATGCGTTCCACGTGACGGATACAGGGAGCCACAACGCGGAGCACACAGCACGGCAGCGGAGGCAACTAAAGCAAAACACAATCATTATTTTCTCTTACTTTATACATCGGACCACAGTAGACGCGCACAAATCCCCGCGGTTGAGTGCTGGCACGCAAAGCCCGCATACACCTCTTCAGCCCACAGCGGTGTACGCCAGCACGGATAAGGCGAGCAGCAGCGGGGCACACACCCACGCAGAGCTGCTGAGGCTGCCGTCGATTTCGCGAAGACGTGACGGTGCGAGGGTGGTCGTCGTGGTTGGCGCCTCTGTGGTTGTAGTACTTGGTGGCTCTGGCGCAGTGGTAGTCGTGGTTGTCGTGGTGCTTGGTGCCTCTGTTGTAGTGGTCGTCGTGGTCTTCTCGAAAGGATCGTCAGGTTTCTTAACTGCTTGTTCTGCGGATGGATTCTTGTCACTTGTTGTCTCTATCATAGCGTTCTCAACTTCTGCCGCTAACGCATTGGGCTTGGCATTTAATTGCGATACAGGACCGATCGTACCTTCTTCATCTCCATGTACGACAGGATTTCCCTTGTCCCCACCGGACTCCTTACCTTGAGGACCCTGAGTGACCGGTATCCTCACGGTTGGTGCCTGTGTTTTAGTCGTCGTGGTCTTCTGGGAAGAAGCTTGAACTTTCGGAGCATCTGATGCACACATAGACGGGCAGCAGCACAGGGCGAGCACCAACAGGGCGCACAGCAGACGGCACATCGTCATCTTCGTGAGTGTGGTCGTTCAGTGGTGTGGAGCTGATCTGCACAGTGAGGGACATGGAGAGCAACAGGGGAAACGAGAGGTGCGGCAGACACACACAGAGGGCACACCACATGAGGAGAGGGCAGCAGCCAGGCATGCACCGTACGCCGCACACCACGCACGACACACACTCCAATCCACGGCAGCAGGAACACACACACACAGCCCTGCCGCAGCACCAACACACAGATGGAAGAGGGAGAAGCAAACAGGAGCGGCACACAAGGCTCCACCGCATGCACATACGGTGAAAGCGGTCCGTCGTGACGGCACCCCTCACGGAGGGTACGCACACACACAAGAGGAGGTGCAGCGCACACAGCAACACAAAAGCAAAGTAGCAATAAAAAAAGGAGATCCACGCACACCACGTGGATTGTTGGTCCACGGGAAGTGCAGCCAATATTCATCACAAAAACAATTCAGTTGTGTTTGGCCTTCGTTCACATTCGGCGCACACCACTTCATGCAGGCCGGCCACCGCAGCAGCAGCAGCACACGCAAAAATAAGCGCAAGAAATGAAATAATGCAAGCAACCATTTATTTGTGTTTCTGTTTGGATGTTGGCAGATGCATGCATGCGTTGTTTTTTTTGTTTTTTTTTTTTTGCTTTGCGGAGTACACATCTTCATGCCTGGGTCGTGTGTTGGGGATTTCTGCAGGGTGCACAATTATTATTTCTTTCCTCTTGTGAATGTTTCTTGTGTTGGTGCAGCCAATAATTCGGTTTGTGTTGTTCCTGCCTTTCGCCGGTAAAGTGTTGCAATAGATGTTTTTGTTTTTCCTTTCGTTGCTGTGGCACCTGATTCCTCACCGTTTATTGCGGTGGAAACAAATAATATGTGAGTGGACTCCCACACACCAGAGCGCACCTTCGCTCCTATTTATTGGTGCATGGAAGGGCATGTGTGTGTTTGGTGGTGTCTCGTCCATATATTTTGTGGGTGTACATTCCCCTGCAGGCTGAGGGCGGGATGACGCTCCGTCGCGGTGCACTTCCCTCGCATGCCGCCCACTGTGATCCATCATGCATCACCCCCTCACATATTCCGTGGTGCCACACCGCTGATATTATTGCAGCCGCTGTGATTCCGCGTATTTCACGCATTTGATTGTGCCACAATACATCCGCTCGTGTGGCCGCCGCATCCAAACAGCGGTGCCCAACACCGTGAGCGGCATTCCACATCCCTGCATGTCCCAACGCAGTGGTGTTTGACTGTCAGCCAGGCGTCAGACAACAGGAGAGTCTTGTGCTGGCAGTACAACACACGGAGCTGCAGTGAATGACTCGGGCGGGGACGCATCTATTCGTCGCAAAGCAGTGAAAAGGAGTCAGGCAAAATAATGCCGGCTGCATTCAGAACACCACATCCACAGCCAAAGCATGCGACGTGATGTGTGTTTCACTGGTGCTGTGAAATGCCTGCAGACGACGTCACTAGTGGAGGCATGCCACCCATGATCAGCGGACAGACAATAATTGGCATGGGAGGCCACAAAAGGCAGCAACGACGCCAGCAGCAGGAGCAGCTCTCTCTCTCTCTTTGTTGCCTCCGAGAAGTAAATATTCCACCAGCCACAGCCCATTGTGCCATCGTGACACTCCATGCACGTCGTGGCTGCGTCAACACATCCTGTTCCCTGCTGCGCCTCAAAAGATGCCTCACTCCGCCCACTAAGTGCATCGGTGTGGGCCGTGCCTCGGCTGTTCGTGAGGACCACAACGATGTAAGGGTCACCGAGTCGCAGCATGTTTGTTGTGAAGTTGTTGCATGGCACCTGCCCACACACACGCAGCGCCTGCATCCATCCCTTTTGTGTCCGCCCTCTGCCGGAGTGGCCACACACACGGGCAGCAGCAAAATCACTTCACCCTCGACGATCCAAAATCAACACCGACATCCCTCGCGACGCAAAGATCTCAGTTGCCAGCACGGGCTTCCTGCCGCCCTGCCATCGACGCTAAAACACGGCACAGTGCACGCACTTATTTTCCTCGTGTGCAGTCAGCCGTTTGCTTCACACATTCTTCGATAGGCTGACGCCCAGAAAAGCACGCCACAAAAGGCCACTGTGATCGCACACGCTCTTACGATGAGCGTCGGTGTGTGCATGGATCCGCTGCTCACACGTGCTGGCAGGCAGCCTGCAGCCGGTGCCCTCGTGCCAGTTCATCGGCTCCAGCACGGAAAAGAGAAAACGGCCCATTCCCGATGCAATTATTCCCACCAGCAGCACCAACACGCTGGTCGCCAGCCGTCATTCCTCAGCACATCCAGGAATGCCGAAAAGTGACGTGGAGCTGTCAGCCAGCAATGCCACAATCCCACACACATGTCAGCTCCACCAGAGAAGACACACAAACTACAAACAACACCCTCCACATGTTTTCCGAACATCATTCCGACACACCGCGACACGCAAAACAGAAGTATTCGTCACTCCGATGCACCTCCCCACACAATCACATAGTCCATGCACCACGCACGGCAGCAGCCCACACGCGGTCAAACAAATGTTCCTCGGATCAGTGTTATCCACGTGCTGCGGTGGGAAGTAAACAAAAGAGACGGGCGGCCAAACCCCAAAAGACTGCCACGACTGGCCGCAACCCAACGGAACGCAGCCACTCAAAAGAATTCAGTCCTAATGCCCTCAACCTCCCACCTTCCCCCACAAAAGCTGCAAAAGATTGAAAACAAACGCACCGTCCAATATATTCTTTGTGCAACACCAAAAGAAGCCGCAGTGCCTTATGCTGTCCTCACAGTCCGTTGATGACGCCTGGATGCGGATGGGCACCCATCGGTTCTTGCAAGTGAGGCTGCACACCCGCGACGCATCTCCTGCGCTCTGAGAAACGCGTCCTTCACTATCACCAGAGACGCCAATGCGCCGTCGGTACGCACAACACTGTGAAGGAACGAAGGATACGTCAGGCTGACAGCAAGACATCCGCCGACAAATCACAGCGCAGAAATCATCACAAGCAGCGCCAAAAGACCGCAGGCCGCAGAGTAACGTGGATCAACGGACGCATGGTGTATGTGGAAGGAAAAACTTGGTGGCGTGACAAGGATGCGAGAGACTGACACTCTCAATCAGAAAGAAGCAACAAGAAAATATCGAAGAAAAGACATTTTGGACGTCCGCAGTCAAAGCAAGCCAAAAATAAATAAAAAACTGGAATGGGTGCACTCAACCACAACACAATAAAAGGAACAAAGCCGAAGCGTGGGACGACCAGCGCACACACTCTCATTGCTCCCGTAAAGCAAAACACACACACAGGGAGAGAGAGAGAGAGAGGTCGCCCACTCAAGGCAATAAAAACAAAACAGAAACAGTTACGGTGCTCCGCCCATGCAGCCAGGCAGGACGGCAGCGGTGCGTGTCGTGCAAAAGAGAGCACCAACGGGCCTGCATGGGTGTGCATGCAATGTATACAATGGGCACATTATGTGTGTGCTTCGTGGGATGAGGTGAGGGCGAGAGTCCATGCAAGGGGACACACACAGAGAGTGGGTGAAAGACGAGTGTGTGTGCGGGCGGTGCATGGCTCTCTCTCACTCACTCTCACGCGGCCACCACCGCAGCAGCAGCCGCACAAGCAACAAGAAGAAGAAGAAGCAAAAGAGGGGAGGTGGTGTGGGAGACCGCGGTGCTGCTGTCACTGTCGCCAGGTGTCACCGTATGATTTGTTTTGGCATCGGCAAGTCTTTCTGTTGTTTGTGGTGCTGCCACACTGGCTGTAAGAGTATCGTTGGTATTAACAGCTGCGGGGTCTTTGTGTGTTCCTTTTGTGTCAGGCCGTTGAGCATCATTGCCGTTCTTATCCGCATTTCTCTGAACATCACCACTGCCAATTGTAGGGATGGATGATGCTTTTGTGTCTGCTGGATGGCCGTTGGCTGTATTCTTCATCAAATCCGATGGGACCCTCTCTTTACTGTGTTGCTCTGCCTCATCATCCTTTGAAGGAGTTTTAGGTGCTTTATAGTCCGTTGCGGTTTCTGACGTTGTCGTCTTTCCAATTGTTGGTGTTGGAGTCTGCGTGTCTGTTGTTGCTGCTTGTGGATTTCCCTCTCCTGATGATAATTCCGTTGTTGATGCTTTTGACGACGGTGGCGGTACTGGTGTTGTTGGTTGTAATTGTGGTGTTGTTTTCAATGGCGGCGTTGGTTCTTTTGGTTGGTCGCTGAAACGGTCTCCCGTATCCACAGCACTCCGCAGTTTCTCGCGTTCAGTATTATCCTCACCAGTAACTCGAATTTCTGGTCTATCTTGTGTATTAGAAAGGCTTTCTTCTGCAATGGGCATTGGCTCCCCCGGTACTTCCACTTTGAGCAATACGGACGCCGCAGGATCGGTTGGTTCTAAATGCTGAACGGCTCGCTGAGATTCCATGTTTTGGGTGGATGACCCACCGCTGGGGGTCGTTGGAGCAACACCACCAGCAGGGGGACCAGATTGAATGACAAGACCAGCACCGTCACTTTCACCAGGCATGGCGGTGCCAACAACTGCACCTGAAGTTGAAATTGAATCATCCTCTTCCCTAAGAGGAACATCATCCTCACTAGCTTCAGCCTTTATAGCAGGAATAGGCAGTGCTGACCGTAAGGGCGGCGTAAGCGCAGCTTTATCACATCCGCTGGGCATATGGTACCAACTAGCACCCAACGCTCCCGACGCCATGCAGCCACCCAGTGCGTTGTTCTCGAATTCTCTCGCATAAACCCATCCGGCACCACACCACAGCACGCAGAGGGCACACACCAGCAGCACACGGCCAGTCATCATCATCGCTCCTGTCACTTGCGTGTAGCCTTCAGCACAAACTAACTTCCCGTCAACGCAGAGCAGAAGTAAGCAGAGAAAAAAGTAACACAGCCAAAGTAACAAACAGCAGCAGGAGCAGCACGCACGTCGAGGCAGAGGAAATCAGTACAATTGC